CCGCAGGCAGTGGTCACTAAGACATGAGTGGCGCCCAACTGTCTCAGTGTCCACAGGTTTGCCCTATAGTTCACGTCTGAAGGGTTTATGTCGTGTTTGCTTCCGTGGCGACCCATTATCATCACATCCACGCCTTCGATGGTCCCACAGATCACTTGGTCATCGCTGGGACTGCCGTATGGAGTCGTGTCCACCGAAACCAGTCTCAAGTCTTTGATGATTGAGGAATCCCTGTCCAAACCGGTGCCCCCAATGATCCCGATCTTCAGCTTAAATTCACTCATTTCCACCACTTTTTCAACTTCTTGTGAATCCAAATGAAGAGTTTTTAGCAAATATTGAGATATCTTTGGAGTACTTCTTATACCTAAAAGTCTTATCAAATGAATGAAACTTACTTAGGAACTAATGTTTGTGAACTGTATTTTGTGCACTTAAGTTATGTTTGACTGCAGTCTATAGTGATGACCAAGAGTTGTCACTGCCTTTAAACTTGGTTAAGACCGTGTTCTTAACATAGCATTCTGTGATCGTCTCAATGAATCCAATGAATTGTCTTTCAAAAGTGCATTCAATCATTCAGTTCTCAATGTCTGTCTATTACTGTATAATAATTATACTCTAATTTTAATGGTAACACAAATTTAATTGTACCTCACCTTACGATTAGAGTTTTATAACAAAGAGAATTATCACTTTTGTAAGTAGTCTTTAGTTACTAATCACTAGTAACTAGTGTATCTTATCCACCTGGGTTATTAAATTGTGTGATATGATTGTCAAAAAATGAAAACAGAGTACTGAATAATTACTGGCATAAATGACACTGTACTAAATGTTTTAAATAAGTTGTAATAAATTGTTATAATAATTTTTATTTTACCAATATCTCTTTTAAAAATTCTTGAATATTTGTACTTTTGCATATAACATTTAGAATATAATATTTTATATAAAATAAAACATTTATAAAATTATTATGTAATTTTCAGTACTAAATATATACCAATTTATGAATATTAGAAATTTCTTGAAAAAATCAATTTATATTTAAAAATATTATTCCAAACCCAATATTAATTGCAATACTAGTGAAATACAGTACAGTATATTGATTATGAATTACTTTTGTTATTCGTAAAGATAGTGTTATTAATAATAATAGTTTGAATGTCAATCTAGTACTGAACCATCACTTTAAGAGATCCCTCCACATTCCTCAAAAAATTCTTGAATATTTGTACTTTTGCATATAACATTTAGAATATAATATTTTATATAAAATAAAACATTTATAAAATTATTATGTAATTTTCAGTACTAAATATATACCAATTTATGAATATTAGTAATTTCTTGAGAAAATCAATTTATATTTAAAAATGTTATTCCAAACCCAATATTAATTGCAATACTAGTGTTTATGTCATGTCATATAACTAATACTTAATGAAAACAATAAGCATTTCTATCACAATAATTATTATTATCAAACTTACAGTTAGATCATGAGAACCATCACTTTAAGAGATCCCTCCACATTCCTCTTCATGAACTTCAACGCATCGATCGCTTCATTGATTGGGAACTTATGGGTCACTAATGGCTTTAAGTTCACTTTTCCGGATGCAATCAATTGTATGGCCAAAGGATAGCTAACATAAATGAATATTATATTTAATAAATGTTTTTCATTAGAAAGTATCACA